AAGAGAAACAGTTTGCTAGAGCTCTCCACCCACCTTATCTGCCATTCTACTAAATCCTCAGTCGTCTTAACAATCTTGCAGAATAAACAAAATGTGGAATTCTAATACCTTTTTTTAAAATAAAAAAAATGCAGCAGGCATAACAAAAACCTCTTTGTTGGTGCTATTTTATAATTACTGTATAGTAAACAGAATATTGTCCCAATACTACTAAGACTACAACTATCAAGTTTATTAGCCACAGAAGCACTTAGAGGACTATTTGAAGTTGATCCATTTGGAAATGAAGAATAATATAATTTATTACCATGAAAATCGCAATAAGATTTTAAATAAATATCACATGAAAATTCAAAAAATACATTTAATGCAACAAGAGTCTTGTAGTATGACTCCTAAGCCATATGAAACAGCACACAACTGCTATAGGATGAAGAGAGTGGACTATTCCTCTTGTCTGCTGATAACAGTAACCCTGCAGACACTGTTTTCTCAGGTCTGGTCACTGTGCAGCAGAGGAATGACAAGCACACATTTTATATTTTGTTTCATAGTTGATAGAGTAAAAAGGAAAAACATAGTTAAGACTGTGTATAGCCTGAACTTACAAGTGTCCTTCATGCATGTCATGGTTGAGGAACACAACTCAATGACGCAAACTGCTGGTTTTCCTGGATCCACTGGAGGCACTGTCAAAATGGAGATCTATCAGGCAGAAAGAACAACTTCTGTTGAAGCAGAGTAACATGGAGGATGAGGCAACCAACACAGTTCAGAGTAAAGGTGAAAAATAACTACAGACATTTATACAATTGTGTTTTCTGGTTTATTAGTAATAATTTGTGGAATCAATCCTGCACAATTTGAGCATTCAAGAATTTCTACCCAAGTCAGTCAAGCCACTGCTGAACGCCTGCAGCAGCGGAACAGAAGGAAAAGCTAACACATCACAGCCCTTTCCAAAAGGATGACAGTTTAGAAACTGTTGGCAAGAGACTACAAAATCACTTTTGAACACTGGGCAGTGCACTGTTAGGAGAGAATGGCTGGAGTACTTTTGTGCAGGACTGCTGATAGCAAGTCAGACTTCTCTGTCATATATGTTCTTATTTTGTAGATCTATATATAGATATATATTATGTAGATATATGTTCTAATTTTGTGTAATTAACAGTTAACAGAATACTAAGGTAACAATTTATTAAAAAGCAAGCAAAATGAACTACCTTAAAGACAGCAGCTTAGAAACTCTATTAATACAGTGCCAACCAAACAAGGAAACCCAGGTCATTGAACTAAAATAGAACAAAATTCCTAATAGTTCTATGGAGACTAACAGATGAAACAATTATCAGTAGAGATAGCTAAAAAGACTGAAAAGCTGGATTCAAGCAGAAACAAATGCATTAATTCCTATCAACAACTAAATATTAATGCATACAATTAATAAAGAGATAAGCGATACAAAAATGACGCATACCTGCTGCTCTGAATCTGTATTTAGCACAGATTGATCAGTAATGAGTACTGCTCTGGAGATCTGCCTACAGTTAAATAAAACATTTATGGCATTTCACAAAAATGTAAAAAATAGCAATTTAGATTCATAGTTTTGGCAGTATCAACCTAAACAGACTACTGTGGGAAGGCTATTTACACATATAATCTTTATTAATATGATGTTAGCGGGATATTTTGCCTATTGCCAAAGTAAGATCACACCTGGAACATTAATGTTGTATTTTCAATGACCAAAACACATGACAAGTAGATGAGCCAGTGCCATTATGTAAAATAGTTTGAACACCCTTATAGTTCTTAAAAAATCCTTTTGTTTATTTGATCAAAATTAGTAGGAACATGTTACAGGACACCATACATTCCAAACAGCATAGGACACTCTGGATTAAGGGGAAATACTCTAGGGTGGAGTTCATTAATTGAGGTTTCTAATCCTCCATTGCCTGTGATTATTTCTGCACTGAACCTACTACTCCAGTTTTGCTAATGTCTTACGTGAAATACTTTGAAGACAAAGGCAGTATATGTCCAATGCTTTTGGCAACAACAAAAATCAGAGAAAACAGTAACTTTTCATACTTATTTTAAACCAGAACAAATTTAAAGTGATAACAGCAATAGGCACCTCCACTTTCCAAACACTTTTTAACAAATACAAAATTCCTAACGTACTTGGAGCTATTGAATTTTTTACAAGGAAAAGGGGAATATGGCTTAGAGGACAATTTAGGAAAACCTAAACACAGAAAGTATACAGTACGCCCTCAAGTTTATAGAAGAGGAAAACCATGCACAGAACTAAGTTGTACCGCAAAGATAAAGCAGGCGACAATAAAATCTTAAATTCAGCTTGCATGGCACTTTATACACTACTATATAAATAAATTCACTATATTTACTGTATTACTACATACCTGTAACACACGTTTGTGCATATGCTCTCGGAAAGGTAACTATCTTCCACAATAAAATAGTTAGCACTTATTCTCTGTCCAAAGTGATCCACAATAGCTTTGCATCTATTAAAAAAAATCAAAACAAAATAAAAAATTTAGATAGAAGGCAACAAAAGCATGTGCAAGCTTTTAAAATTGAATTATATAGCACATTGTTTATATCTTTCAAATAAGTTAGCGATACGTTTCTTTAACACACGAACCCCTAAAACTACTCAACTGAAACCAGTAACTAAATCCTAGACTCATACATTCCACCTGGGTATATACAATTGTTTACATGCAGTGCCATTATAGATAATGACATTAGAACTTTAAAAAACTGGTCACTTTGTAAGGAAAACCAAATATAGGCTAGTAAAACTGGCATTTGATTGTACATGGAAATGGCATGTGTTTCTTCCCTCAGGATACATGGAAAAGTAATAGTGTGAATGATTTTGTAGGTGCCACCCCTACCACAGGGTTATTTTTCCCCAGTTAGCAACCTTTTAACAATGACAAGTTTATTTTGACAGATAAAATGGCAAATTAACTGAAGAGATGTAAGGAAAAATCCCTGCGAAATGTGTGCAGACTGTTCCAAGAGAACTTTTCTGAGCTTCTGTATTTGTGACTAAATACACCACCTATCTCTAAGTTACACAGAAAAGGACTAAGTCACAGTGCTTTAAGAGTGCCACAAATGCTCTTGATAGATCCTGTTTGTCTTTGAACATATATAAATCCTAACACAAACATGTATTAGTATGCCTCAGGCAATACTTGAAAAACAAACAAAACCAAAAAACATATTCCCAAGACCTCCCTCCCCAAAATCTTTCTGAATGCAAGCATTCCATAGTCTGAAATGAGAACTGACCAAGTACGACGCTTATTTACAAACGTAAGAGGTTAATGACAACCGAACATCTTTTTATAACACTAACTTCTAATGCTGGAAACTACATATATACCTATACTCAGATCACCTGAAAACAGGAATTAAAAAAAAGTCCAATGGCCCAAGCATTGTTTACCTTGAATCATGCAGTATTCTTCATACAGGTTCAATCACAGTCTATTCAACATGTGACCACTTGCAACTTTCAGAAGTTTTTTATTCACATTAACCTAACTGATTTCATTCTCAAGCACCCATTTGAATACTGCACATAAACATGGAAGTTGAGCTGCTGCAGTTCATTTCTAATTATAACCTTTCTTATTGTTTATGAAACAATTTTCCCTGCCACTTTCCTAAACATTATCGAAGGGGAAAGGTTGATTAAATGTCATGTTGCATCACTCAAAGCCAGTAAAAGCAACTAGACACTTTTTCTTTTCCTGCGAAGTGTTGTTTCCTCTCCTTTGTTCAGGAATAGCTATCAGGTCATATGTTTGATAAGATTTTAAACAGAAAATGAGATAGTGCTTTTAATTGCAGTCTCCACTTTACTTCAAAGGATGATACTGAGAAAATTTCTTTCAAGTACTGCTTCCAAACATGCGAAACACTTATGCACTGACATTATCAGGTCTCTGTCATCTGATATGTGTTGGGACAATGAATCATACAGAACCCTCCATTGACCTTCTTTCAATGTGTCTAGATAAAAGGATGAAAATTAGAATCCATCTCCTTGCAGTGCCACGAGTTATAAATGTACTTTATAGGGCTCATTATCCAAACTAATGGACTAAGGGCGACATCCTTGAAATGGACTTAGCAGCACTGACAAAGCCAGCATGCAATATTTCAAGAAAGATATGTAAATTACTATGTGTTTGCTATCTCTTTTTATTACAGATGTATAAATTTCCATTTATCACATCTTTTCCATTTTTGAGGCAGAATTATGTAATTGGAAACATATGTAAAGCGTGATCAACATAAAATGCGTACCATTATTATAAATGCAACTCATGTAATGTAAAATACTTTAAATTTTATCATATGTACACAAATAAATGACTCACAATAATCAGGGAGAAAATAAACAACAAAATGAAAAATAATTATGTATACATGCAATGTGCTTTTTCCTCAAGCTAAGGAATAGGATGTGCTTTTTATTTTCCAACAGAGCATCAGAGTTCTATATCAAGAATGCAGAATGTTCTGCAGATGTGTTAGAACAGCAGCCCTTACCTGATACAATACATAAAAAATAGAAATTTTCAAGTGGATTACCAAAAACCTTAGAATAGCTATATCTAAGAGTTTCTATACTTTCACAGAGTCTTCCCTGAATCTTATTTTCATAAACCATAAAAAGGGCTACAGTAACATGATGAAAATAATTGCATAGTTGGGGATGAAACCTACTGTTCTCTGCACAGCTGTGGGTAGTAAAAAAGTGAAAAAAATTCAACTAGATATTGAATGAGTTTTTGTTTTTCTTATGTTGGACAGATTGTAAGCCATGCCTGGAAAGGAGTTCAAATAAACTCTGATGATATTTTGGGACTCCAGAATAGACTCTATCAACAAAAAGTTTGAGAAGGAAATCAAGGCTGTAGGTATAAATTTCCCTTACATGTACTAAAGCAAGAATAGCAAAAACAGTGAAAAAATAACTGCAGCTGGATTTTGATGAAGTCTGTAGGCTACAGAAGATGCTTATAAAATAGTAAGTAATGAACACTGCACAATTTAGCTCAATTTCTAGTGTTGTGAGTTTAACCTATTTGTAACCAAGGCAAGCTGTCTCTGAAACTACAGAGGCAGCTGCAGCGAGGAGAAGATATGAATTTGTCTCTTCCCAATTACTATTAATGGCCTGTTGACTCTAAAGCTCAGTAACTCATAAATACCCTCATTAACAACCTGATAGCTGATTTTTATTAGGCAAAACACTGAAGCCCAAAGTCGAGAGGATATCAGAGATAGTGCAGGGAGGGAATACACAGTAAGGAAAGGGATAGCATGAAGAAAAAGAAGGAAAAGGAAACGGTGATCATCTTTGCAACAAACTGTACAGCGCTCTGAGTAGCACTCTAAGGAAAAGACTTTGCAAATAAAAGCAGCATTGCGTTCAGGTGAGGGAAGAGAAAAAAAAGAGAAAATAATATAACTGAATAAAGATCCATAGCTGGCTCAAAGAAACTCAGCTTTCTGAGTGACATTTTTGCGATGGTGAACAGGATTAAATTTAAAATTATTAGAGGGAAAAAAAGAGGATGTTGTATGATCCTTCTATCATTGCTCAAGATACTCTTTTAAAAAACATATTTTGACCTAGGCTGCATTATTTTAACAATCTCAAAGAAGTCTGACACTTCCCTTGTCTTTTACACAAAAGTAAATAAAAATATTTATTTACTTTTATTTTTATGTAGAAATGCTACTTGATAAAACAACTGCTTTGAAACTCTGGGAGACCTAAAAAGAGACAAAAGAAGCAGGCAGGGAGATGCAAGGCAAGCTTCTTCATATTGAGCATCAGCTAATGGCACTATTAAAAGACCAACTTTTCCAGAATAATGAAAGTCTGGCAACGTCTTTTTAAAGTACTTCAGTAATTCTGCAACTCAAAATCTATTCTGCAGTTTTAAGTGAAAATGGTCTAAGTGAACCACTAAAGCAGCCTAAGAGCTTAAAAAAAGATACCTGCAACCTATCTGGAACCCTGAGGAACTCTAGGAGATCCAAAATGTAAAAGCACATTAAAGGAAAAGCAGTGCTCCACTTTTTTTTTAGAATACATATAACCTTAACAAATAAAACATTAATTTCAAAGGTATTCAGAACGTGCAAAAGCAGCTGGAAATTGAGGCAACCAGCATCACTGAGCAGTTAAGGTCTCAATAGATGGGTGTTGGGAAGTTGCTAACAACTAGGAGCTTTGGCCCTTTGAAAGAGTCAGTTAACTATTTAAACATTGTTGGAAAATAAAGCTCCCTATAGTAAAAGTTCAAATATTACTGACAAAAACCCCTTAAACCTATAGACCCATAAAACCAGTTTATGAAAGGGGCATTTAATTTGCATATGAATCATATGCACTTAACACCACACAGGATGAAATACTACCATATTTGCATCTCAAAGTCTACAACTATGCAACAGACTTCAGAATCTTAAGGAACTCTCGGAAAGACAAAATCTGCAGAATTTCAAGAAAAAACAGCTGTTACTTGACCATGTCATGAGGAATCTAGCTACAAGTACTGTGCTCAAAGGATCAAACGTGCAGTGCAACTGGAAAGTAAACACATTACACCGATCATTTAACTACTAATTTTGCTAATTAAAATGTTACTACATATTTTTTAGCTTAATTTTAAAAACTTTCTACAGAACATTTTGACCTTTTCAATAGCAGAAACTAAGCTGAAAACAAACTGTGAAGAGAGCCAAAGTCTGCAGTTAGACTAATAACTGATAGAACTTATATAACAGAAATCATGACAATTTACAGAGGTGTGAAAAATGCCACTATGGAAAAAACTATGGGTTGATTTTTCTTAGCTCGACTTTAAATCTGCCTACAGGCCTGATATTGTTGTAGAAGAATTTATCCCAGGATAAGAGGGCAGCATAGTTTATGACAACAATCTACCTAAAAACTCATTAAAGTCTTTTCTCTTGGAGTGACATGCATTATCAGCAAAGATTAATCTGATGAGTCCTTAGGTGAGCTCCATTTTTAAAAACGCAATAACAGAGGGCTTTGTTGTCATCTGATGAAAATCAATTAGAGTAGGTAAGGCCACAAGGAAAACTAACATCACTCATCACCAGCCCCCCGGCAGCTGAAATGATTTGTCTTCCAAGCTTGGGTGATCAGGAGCTGCAGTAATATCACAGGAAAATTAATTTAGTTTCTATATTCTAGACCCACTTTCCTTGTTCTGGAGGACCTATACACAAATTACTTTTAATCAAGGTTGATGTGTTATTAATACCAAGGAGGATTTTTGAAGAATCATTTATTTTTAAATTGACTTAACACATTTTTCATCTGTATGTTGTATATAAACAGAAGGTTACTTATATTACCCTTACCGTCCAGATTCTTTGTCCACTACAAGGCACCGCACGGAATGGCGAAGACAATAGATACCACCAAATACAGCACACAGCCTAGAAACACATCAGGAAAAAAAATAAAGGTTACTCCCATCACAACTAATTGTAATCAATGTGAGTGTGTGTCATAAGCAAGGTCTGTGCACACTGTAGTACATTCTTAATGACACATCTTAATCTCTGAATCAGACAATCAAAAACCAATCACAATAAAGCATGTCATATAGTTTTTATAAAGGATATGTTGTTAACTTTTTTTTGCATTAGCATTTATCTTAGTGGTCTAAATTGTTACATTCCCTTGAGCACTCATTCACTGTTACTATCTACAGCCATTCCGGATGGAAAAGAAGCTATTTACTGCAGACACACAGCATATCTACTGATATTCTGACCACAGGACATGGCACTTGGTGTACAGTAAGAATGTAAGAACACACGATAATCATAGACCTCCAACTAGAATGCTAAGCGTGATTCAGAAGTTATTTCTCTACTCTTACAGAACGTACCGTGAAAACTTCATTGCCTACAAACAGCTCAAATTTTGAGGGCATGGAGAAGTGCCTCAATGGAATGAAGACTTGTTACCATCTAAAGATGACCTCTCACAAACAGTGATTCCTCCAGGTTCTGTCTATGTTATGATACAGTTGCTTAAAATATTCTGTGCATGGACTGACGATAAAAAAACTTTCCTAAATGAAAAAAGGAACCAGCTCCACAGGTCAGTTTTTCGAAAGCTAAAGTATATTAAGCTGTTCAGCAGTTTTCCAATTAAAAACAAACCCAATGCCTACACCAAAGAAAATTATGCCAGTATGCCATTAAGCCAATATTACAACTCATCTGTCTTTAAACTCTAAGGAGCCTCAGAACTTAAAGAAACTAGATTATGACATTTAAATATGAGGGACCCCACGGGAAGTTAGCCCACTGCAAGATTTCATCACTAGCCAGGCTGTTTTAGCACCCCTTGAAGGTATCTCTGACTAAAACCCTTCACCAGATGACTCTGTCCTACTACAAAGTCTGAGACTTCTCTCTCATAAATCTGCACTGTAAAAGTTCAGGTGGTCTGGTGATAAACATGATCCCAGGAAGTTACAGAGCTTGAGGTATCTATTCACAGCTATTCATATATATATTCAACTCAAAAAAGAAAACTTTCATTTTGCAAACCTGACTTCCTAGAATGGAATCCACATTGGCAATCAAAAGCCCTATTAGATAGTTCAAAGACAGTACTGCACTACCTTCAAAATTGCATGAACGATGCAGCACAATAAGCGGATAAAGTGCATTTCCAACCCACATCTCTTCTGAGTTGCACTCCAAAAGGCAGCAGCCTAAGGCAATGCCAGCAATATCGTCTACTACTGGCCCCATCAGCAGATCCAGTTCCCTACCAATACCACCTCAACCCATGCAAAAAGGGGGAGAATACACACTGTGTTGAATCCCAACCTTGGTTGTCTGGAGATGACACAAAGGTTAAACATCCACTGAAGAATTATTATGGAGCCTTGAGCTACGGGCTTATTATCTCTAATGCTGCAATCAATGGCTTCTTGCCTGACAAAGCACGGATTAGCTTTTTTCAGACCTACTCAGATGAATTTATTTCATACACTGTATAAAAGAATAGCACTATTAACCTAACTAGAACTAAGATTCCTTAAAAACTATAAATTATATTTTTCCTTTGACTTCAACCACAGTCAAAGGCTTTTTGATATATGGACTTTATTTTTCTAGAGTGCTTTGAAAAAACCGTGCTGCTTGGCTGAGCAAAAATGTGAATTACTTATTTTCAAGAGTAGCCTGCTATCCAGTGGAGGAGGGCACGACCTGTTTTCATAGTAGGCCAGCGGAAAACTTCTGTTTTTAAATGAAAATGGGAAGGAATTTTGATTGTGTTGTGTTAAGCAATTACAAAGAGCCAAAATACCTTATAGAACAGCCTAGCATGAAAAATGACATGATTAGGAAGAACTTGCCAAAATTATGTAAATATAGAAATTGAAATATTAAACTAAATGGCACCCCAATAATTTATGGCAAAGTAGAATCATTGTGCTAACATTACCTTCATACAATAGGCTATTCAAGATGATTTGACTGTACTTCAAGTACAAGGCAACTCTTTGATACCATTAACCCTAAATGACAGACATTTAAACTGATATTACTCTAATTAACTGGCGACTGCCTACACCAATAATTCAAGTTTTGCTGAAAGATAGCAACAACACTGTACTCAACTTCAACTTTGCCCCGGTGACATCAAATCATATTACAGCTAAATTAACAGTTGTGAAAATTTTTGGCCTGGTAGCCCTCCATCATACTCAGCCTTTAAATGCCATTTCAGTTCCCATCGTGGCAGGAATCAGCAGTTGTAATTTTTAATACAGCTGTGAAACAATAGCACATATGAAAAGCTGGATTTTTGACAGCATATTCACGATGATTTATGAGTTTGTATATAATTTGATTATTCTATTAATTTTACTGATTACTGATTCAGCTAATACAGTGAAGGTCACTTACAAAATAAATCTTCATTACATTTCACAGAAAGTAACTGCCTCCAACTAGTTGTTTTCTTTAATTAAACACTAATGTAACAAGAGAGAAAATAGGCTTCAGGGTTGCTGCATCTGTTGCTACAGGAGGAGTTTACTGCTTTGATGTAATGCTCTCCAATATTAATTGAACAAAAATAGAATGCCTCTCCATCTGACATCTTGATTTTCAACACAGAGACACCATGAACACCCTTAAATTACAGACTTACCCTCAGTTCATTCTCAGAACTACAGAAAAGACTCGGAAAACCGTATCACGTAGTTTCACACAAAAAAAGTAATTTTTATTTCTAGCATATAGTTTGTCTTCTACTTTCTAAAATGCATGGAGCGATTACTCAAAAAATTGAATATTTTTCTCCCCAGCTGTACAGTTTTTAATAGCAAAAAACTATTTGCTTCCCTCCTTAAAGACAAATACTGCATGTACAGCACAGCAAGCTTTGGAGAAAGATCAAAGAAAAGTATGCCAAGTGCTGAATTAATGAATTGTCCTCTTTCCATTTATTTTTACACACGGAGCAAGTTGTGACCTGGTTCTTATGTTAAATTCTGTGTTCACTACTAATAGAAGAGCCATGTTACTAATAACCCTTGTAGACGAGTTTTCAGAGTCTAAGAGTGGTGGAATAGTAGCTTAGTTCTAGCCACTAAAAAATTCCTTAAATAAAAAAATAGAGCCCAGTTTATCTAATAATGCACTTGAAAGTCATTAACACCCCAGAAATTTGCTGTAATTATGCATACTTGTTAGCTATCCTCTTCTACAAGCATTCAACTATGAACCTAATTTCCCATTTTCCACATTTAAAATAACCAGAGAACAAAAATCTTTGTTTAAGAAATAACGAAGTTGCACAAATACAATAACTGCAGAAAAAAGTTCTAACACGTGTGCGTGGTTATTTGACAAAAATTTGCTTAGGAATAGCAGCTGCTTAGCTTTAAGTAATTTCTGAACCAGAAGTCTACTTCTGAACCACAGCACTGCCTGTGAATAGAAGAGTTTTGGTTCAATACCACACTCATAGGGGTGACATGAATATTAAAGCACTGTGGAAATTTTAAGAAATCACTGCACAGAATGAGAAGAAAAAAAAAAAAGAAGTTCAGTGGTTTCTGTACTACTGTGATGGTAGATAACTACAAAGCAGCCTCTGAAGACTAATCTCTATGGAAGGTGAAGTATGAGACCTGTCTGGTTCTAAGTTCTATTGACCTTGTAAGAGAAGAAGCTGTTCCTCGCACAAGGTCGTTTAGCTGAAATTATACAACAGTTCTGCCCTCAAAGAACAGCTCGGGAGATCAGGACCGTAGGGCAGACACACAAAAATGAGCGACTAGAAACCAGTCACTAAGCATTAGCTCATCTATAAAACCCATTTATGTGTTCTCTGCCTCCAGAAACGACATAAAAATTCAAGTTATCTTAACCCTCAATTAAATTCAAGGACTATTTTACTCATTTAGCAACTTTCTGGAAGCTACCTTTGTCTTCTAGTTTAATGAAAACGGACTCTGCTGAATTATATCTGCATTTACATCCCAGATTCACTCCAATCATAAACATTCACGTCATTTCCATGGATCTTCTGATAATGCTGTGACAAATTCTGTGTCCGAGTCATAATTCTCAGGAAGAATATATAAGCCAGAATCTGCACATCCTCACACAAGCAGAGAATAATTTACTCTTTAAGAGACTGTTAAGAGATAAGACCAAATAATGTATTAGATATACTTCCTTCGTATTATTATCATTGTTTTTTCATTACTAAACCATAATTACTGAAATGTCACCTCATTATAGCATTTGTATTTTGTGCTTTTAAGTTTCAAATGTATCTGCAAAACGAAGCTAGAATGATCAAGAATGAGAGTAGGACAGTGTCCGCTGTTTTCCGCCTTTTTTCAATATGTAATGTTACATTTCTTTTTCCTAAACCACAGGGTATATTCTAACCTCTGTTATAAATACAATTCCTTGACTGAAAACTTTTCCATGCCTAGTTAGAGATCTGAAATCAATACACTTTGACAACATTCATATGATTCAGAGGATCCCATGTGATATACTCTAATGACTGAAGGCCTTCACGAGGTATAAACTTCTGAAGAACACTGTAAAATAAGAAGGAGCAGAAAAGCTCTCATCTTTATAAATATTTTTTTTAAACAAAGAACTGACATCTCATTGAGAAGACAGATAAAATCTAAAATGGGAAGGTGCTGTCAAAGTTTCATACACTTAAAATGCATTTCACAACAAAGGTTATTTCCAAATTAGAAGTCTTTTCCTGTCAAATTCTGAGAAATAATGTGGGCAAGGACACAAAAGCATTCCATAGCTTTATTAACGACAATGCTCACTGATCTGTGAATAACCTGAAAAAAATGAAGATTATTGAGTTACTTTACCAATCTGTCCATCCATCACCAGTGAACAGGTCTCAGAATGATGGA